GAAAGTCCTTGGGAGAAACTTGAGCTTGTTTAAAAGGTTGTGCAGAGGATATCTGCATAGCTGCTGGTAGGTCACTGAGCGGAACATCCCCCTTGCCTGGCCATCCAGAGTGATGTCAGGTTCACCCAGCCAAAGACCAGCTGTAGTCTTGTCCTTTTTTAAAAAACACCCAAAATCTTGTCTTCCTTACAGCAGGGGTGGGGTGGAAATGGACTTGGGGTTTTGTAATCCTTCTGTTCACTTCAGGGTGGTTCTAATTATTCTGTTCATCGGTGCTGCTCCACGGGCAAAACCAGAGGCTCTCCTGTGGCTTTAGTTTTTCTAATTAGACATTAGCACTAATTGGTTAGTGGCCTTGTAGGTAAAATACCAAATTCCAGCAGAGTACAGGGAATTTCTTCAGGTCCTGGAGGATGTTTGGGATGGGTAATGATGAGTGTATTTAGCACACCTTGGCTTACCTGGGTCAGCCCAGTGGGGACAGACAGGATCTGGGTGGGGGTTATGTGGAGCAGTAGCGATAGCCGTCTGTCTTTTGGATTTACCCTGGTAATTAGCGGGTGCATTAAGCACACTGCAGCTGACATTGCTCAGATCTGCTGGATGGCATGGGGCTAGACCGGCAAGCAGGTTTTGAGGGTCTTTGGGTCAGAATATCACAGAGCTCTCGTAGTGGAATAAATGGTGTTATTTATAACAGTGTGTAAACGGTCGATGGCTCTTGGGCACAGATGTGGCATTGTCCCTGTGCTGGGGAACTGGCAATGGCCGTCTCCCCTCCCAGCAAACAGAGAAGCAGCGCTTGCCCCAAGCAGGGAAGGAGCAGTCTAGTGACCCCAGAGAGTAGAAAGGAGCTTTAGTTTCGGTCCCACCCAGCCTAACACTCTTGCGCCAGTGCAAGTGCAGGCAGGAAGGTCTGTGCATCAGGACAGCCATGCAGCGTTAAGTGCAAAGACCCTGAGAGACACTAAAAAAGTGCTTTAAAAAAAGTAATAAAATTAGGTTGTGTCCTTCACCTGGATGTGCAACCCCATGCTCTTGTATTAAGAGCTGGAAGCTGCTCGGAGGTTCCTGCTGCCGTGGCTGGATGCAGCTCAGACATGACGTTTCAAGGACCTTATGCTGGGATCACAGTCATGCCCTTCAGACAGTTATGTTTTTTTTCTGGCCAAAGTAAATGTGACAAGCTGTTGATCTGATTTTTGTAAAGCAGAGCGGGTTGGTTTTGTTCCCTCTCTGAGCACTCAGGCTGTCACATCTGCATTGCACGTTTCCTTCAGGTTTGTTTTCTGCACTTCACTGGCGTGATGGAAGCCTGAGTGTCACAAGCCAGCTGCTCTGTATTATTTTAATAAAGACTAGGATGTCATCTTTGAAAAAAAACTCTTCCTGAAGACAGGAGCCTTCACTTTGGTGTTCATTTTGATAGACTGCTTTATTAGAGGAGAAGGAATCTTGTTGCAGGAAGCCCAGGCAGTTTCACAGGGAAGCTGCCTTGACTTTGACACTGCTCAAGTGATGTAGAAACCTGTATTAGTTTCCGGGCTGGGACTTTCTGAACTTCAGGGCCAACCTTTCGAGTCCCAGTTCATGCGCTGGAGCTGGCAGTCAGCTGACCGCATCGCGTGCGTGAAGAGGGACTCTTGGCTTACCAAGCAGGCTGTCATGTTTTGCAGCATCTTAGTACCTGATCAGGGCTTAGGTGGTTGTCTCAGATTCTGTGTTGTGAAACGTCATCAGGAGGAGGGAGGTTGTGTACCTGTCCAGGGCACTGGCCCCAAAGCAACTACCTGTCAGTGACCAAGAAAGCAACTTTTTCAGACCCCCAGCGTGAGCCATCGCCAGAGAGCAGCAGGTTTTGCTTTCTGTTCCCCCGCCTGCTGCCAGTGTGCATCCCTGCCTGCTGCTGGTTGCAATCTGGGTGTTGTGGCTGTCATAGATTACAGGAAATAAGACTGAAAAAAAGGGGCCTCTTACAGGAGGGCCTCTTATAGTCCCTAGCCCAGGATGGCTTGGCTATGCCTAGTGGAGGGTTTTCCTGCCCATGGCAGGGGGATTGGAACTAGATGATCTTTGAGGTCCCTTCCAACCCTAACCATTGTATGATTCTATGAAAATCATTCCTGGCATAACCGGTTTCAGGATGAGCAACACATAGGATTATCCTAATTAAAGTGATGCCCTGGGGTGCCTCATGCTGATCACTACATCAGATCTGTCTCTGTCTCTCTTCTAGACACGTTTCGTAGTGATACGATTTAATTTCAGTGGCATCATCAACAAAAAGTGACACCAGCACAATGCCTCAAGTGGATGGGGTTAGACTGATGCAATGGTGCCTTTTCCTGGCTGTACTTCCACAAGGGAAAGGGTACAAAACTAAAGGAGTCCATCTAAGGACCACACTGCTTTGCAGAGTTAAAGTATGCCAAACCTGCAAAGCAGTGCTAAATTGTGTAATTCAGGGTTCAGCACAGGGAGGCTCAGATGGTCTGTATCCTCTTCACTGCTGTTTTAAACCCAAGTTTAAATCCCAGCCTGGCTCTGCTTGGGAAGGTTAGGAAGTAGTTGGTGCTATGTAAGAATATGCACAGTTCCGGCATCGCAGTTTTGCAGAGAAAAAAGAGGCTGTGCTGCGTGTGCTCCAATACCAATTTATTCATCATAGCCCTGAAATAAGTGAATTTCAGCCAGAATTATCGGTCCTAGGAAAGAGGATATGGCCTCTACATCGTTTGCAAGCTGCTTCTTGCTGCTGGCCGTGTGGGATGGGACCTTTAGAGAGGAATGTCTTCAGACAGAGATGTCTGGTTTTTAGGCAAAGCCTGTCTTTGTGCATGGGGGTAGCTCTGTCTCTGCTAAGGTCACGGGAGTGCAGGGTGCTTAATCCAGTGCATGCCAGCAAAGTGGTTCAGGATGAATTGGGGCTCTGTATGGATGGACACAGACCCCCCACGAGGGAATAATTTGCTAATGCTGGGGAGAGCCAGCAGACATTTGTCATTGCAGGGTCGGCTAAGTCAGGGCTCCTGCCTGCAAATGCCATGGGAAAGAAAGGTTGCTCCTGGGAGCTGCAGGGTGACTTCTGCTGCTGTTTTTTGCCATCTTGAAAAGGCAGGTAGCATTTTCTTCTCACCCAAATGTAGCCCTGGTAATAAATGTAAATGCCCACCCACGATACATCAGTTTTGGGATTTAAATTTGCCCCCTCTTTGCTGCCGAAGCCCCTGCAGACCTGCTGGCACCCTATCCAGCATAGCCAAGGCTCCAGCTGCAGGGACAACAGCTGAGTTGGGAGTAACTGTTATGCATACAGAAATAAAACCATGCACAGCAAAGTCCAGGCTGCCAACTGTCTTGCACGGCCACATCATCAATCATCTGGCTTCACGATGCAAAAAAGAAGTCCTCTTCTCCGGGGTGGTGGTGGTCATTGTGGTGGTGGAGGCTTCACCCACCGCTCCTGGTGAAGATTTTCACAGCTCAGCTGCCCCAGCACATCACTGGTGGAGGAAGTGAAGGAGTCCTTCCTCTCCAGAAGGATCACTCTTTGAGCCCTAAAGGAACTAAGGAAGCGGGGCTGCGCCCCACTTCAGGGTATTGGAGGCGTATGGTGGGTATACGGAGGGGCTTGAAAGTGAAATTGCCATGCATACTCAAAATTTGGGCATTACTCCTGCAGTCTCTTCCTGGTGGACCAGGCACATGGCTGAGAAGCTAACAGTGACAGGCTCCAAAATGTGAAAATGGGCTGAAATGTGTATATTCTGCTTTAAAAAAACAACCCGCCTCGCCCAAACCCTCTTTAACTTCCATGTCTTGGTTATTGCAAAAAGATATCCTGTGTTTAAAGGCAGTGACTGCACCCCTCTGATTAAAGACCTGGAGCACTTCGTTTGGTACTTATCAGAGGAGATCTCTGATGCAGGAAGATGGAGCTCAGGTCTGTACTTCTGTAGTCTTCCTCATCTCATCTACTGGAAAGAAAGTACATGGGGAGGAGAGAGATGGGGATGGGGTGACAATGGCCTTTGTGCTGTGGGCTTTGTATGTTAAAGCCTAGAGAGGGAAGATGATCCGATGGCAAAAACCCAGAGCAAGTTTTACATGCTGTGGGTTCGGTCCTTGGCTCTGATACGGCCTTTCTATGCAGCACCTTGAGCCATCGCTTCAACCACCAGCATCTCCATCTGTGAACTGGGATGATGTCCATTCTTCCTGCTGTGCATTGGTCTATCTGCCAGTCTGCATGGGACATGGTCTGGGTGCTCTCTTCCCATCTGTAAGGGCTGAGCAGTTTAGAAGAGACAAAAGATGGTGACCTGGAGGGTTGTTTTTTCTTCTCACATGGAGCAGGAGTTGCCATCACCTGCTGCCTTCCCTCCGTCAGTTCATCCCAGTGTAAATGCTGCTTTTAATGATAACTTTCCTGTTCTCCTTCAAGTTTCACGATGAAGCAAAATTGCTCATTTTTCTTCCGCATGACTCACAGCACTGAGGTTTTATCACTTTCACGTCTGGAGGCGGTGGGAGGAGGAAGGCCTTTGGATAAATAACAGGGAGGCATTTCAGTTCAGTTCAATCTCAGCATGTTTTGTAACTCCCCCTGTTCCTGCCACATTCATGTGGAGAAAATCATTAGAGATGTTTACTATATGCCAGTGAGGGTTGTGCTCATTCAAGTACAACAATACCAGCTCTGGGAATTCAAAACAAAATTATTTTCTTCCCACGAAGCTGAGCATCATCTTCTATCTCGGCAGTTGTCTGTCCATCTGTCCTAATCCATTGGAAATAATTTTTTCTGAATTGGTGATTTTATCTGAATTAGTGCATCCTCCAGTTTCTTGATCCTGTCTCAGTTTTTGCTTCGTGAAGTCACAAGTGCTTGTGGGAGCCAGGCTTTCATAGGCACCTTACCCATACCGCTATGGGATGTGGTTCATCTAACCCCATCGCATTGTGTCTCCTGGTGCATTGCACTTCTTTCATCCTGATTTAATGACTCTTGGGGAATGGGAATCTCTTGTTCACCTCCTTGATCTTCCAGCCATGGGGATGAAACTGTCCAGTATGGTGCAAAGGTTTGCTGTCCTCCAGAAACACCTCCTTGTGTGAGCATGGACAAACAGGAGTGGCTCCCCTGGGTGTGCAGACAGTGAATTAGTGATGTCCAGCTTAAAATGCAGGATGCCGTTGAACAGGATGGTGGCCTTCTGTGGGCACGTCTTAGTAGTGAGATGCTTTTTAGGGGGCAGCTCTTACTTCGTGCCTACAGAGGGGAGGGCAGGATCTTGCAAAGGATTTCTGTGGGTTATGGTCCTGGCTATGCATTGGACTTTCAAAGCTGGTGCTAAGCAACACCTGGGGCAGAAGAAGCACTTGGCAAGTGTGGAGAATGGTGTTTTAAATGTTGAATGTCCATTACACTTATAGGATCAGGATACGTTGCACTGACGCTTTCTGTGTCAGCAGAAATACGGAAATATTTACCATAATGTGGTGGAAAGGTGTTCTAACACACATCTAGTTCTCCTAGCACTACATGGCAGTCTTGGCATTTATTACATAGCTATTTTAACCAGGATAGTGGTGTTATTTCTTTGCTGTCCTCTAGCCTGTCTACTTGAACCCAACCTCCTATCTTGTCTCCTGCTGGCTCTTTGGGATAAGAGGCGTCGTTGCCGTGTTTTGCAGTTGGTAGGTGCAGTGCTGCCGTGCAGACGGTAACGACACAAGGAGCATGGGTCTGTGCTCAGCGGCTGTGAGCCCAGGTGGGTTGACAACGCAGTGCCACAGTTATTCTTTATAACCTTGTGCATAGGCTGGCATTAAAAAGTGAAGCTGGAAGTGAAAAAGCTGATGATGCAAGATGGGAAAGGTAACAGGAGCAGATGTTCAGTTTGGTGTAAGAGATGCAAAGGCAACACAGCAGGACCACGTCCAGCAAACCTACTAGGGACTTGGTGCTTCCCTGTGAATTGCAGCCCTTCTTTCATCAGCCTGAGACACGTGAAGCAAAACACCCTGTGGAAAGAGAAGAAGGACTTTGAAGGAGGTCAGATGCATTTGTACCAGGCAATGCCAGTAGCTCCAGTTGATTGCCTGGTTGGGCACTGCCCTGCTCAGCCCCAAGCTCATTCCCATGACCAGGAATCTGGCACCTGTGTCCGCTCCCATGGAATTGCCTGGTATTGAGGGATTGCTGTGTTGCAACGTAAAGCCCCTCCACGGCTGGGGCTTAGGCACATGCAGCCTAACAATACCCCAGGGTCCTCAGGAACCTGGAGGAGAGCCACGGTTGGCTTTGTAGTGCAGCTGCAAAGTGTTTCACAGGTGGGATGAATGAAAGGGTGGAAAATACTCAGAAATTAGGCTTTTTTTGGTTTTATGAAGCTTTTTCTTTTAATGGGAGAAGTCAGGAATGGAACAAAATCTCTTTTTTCTGTTTTCCATTGGAATTTAATGGTCTCTTTAGAGAGAGAGGGCTTTATGACAAGAAAAAAGGCAAGAGGCATCTGTGAGATGAAGTGCCTCATCTCACAGATGAGGAGGAGTGCGTGGAGGCAGGAGGAGGCACACATGCACATTTGTCCCCAGTAGTCCCCCTCCTTGTTTGAGGAGTACCTTGGACATTCAGGGGAGAGCCCTTGCTGTAGCCCTTAGTCGCCTTTGCTGCTTGTCAAGCCATGAGAGTTGCTGTGGACATGTCCCTGTGGTTCTCCTGGTAAGGGCTCTCCTTTCCAAGGGGAAATGTATTTTTCTTCCAGTCCCTGAGGATCCAGGTGAGAACAGCCATGCCAGGTCAGATCAAAGGCTTCAAAACCAAGGGTGCTGCGTCTGGTCCTTGGACAGGAGTCCAGGCGCAGGCTGGTGTGCATGGAATGTGACCACTGTGAAGCACCTGAGATGTCTCCATGTATAAAGGGAATGGTCCGTGTCCAGCGCTTCAGCAAGGTTAAAAGCATGAGATGTGGCATGATTTTTACTGAATAGGTGTCTTCGATCGATGCAGGTTCTCAGCTCATTCGTCAGATCGGAGATGCCCTCTGCACCAGTGCAGGCAGAGGAAGTGATCGGTTGGGGTCTCCACTCAGATTGCTGGTGGTCCACAGCAGCAAACCATGGAGCAAATCTGTTCTGCCACCCTCAGGACCAGCTAACCTTGCATGTGTTTCCCTCCCCACAGATGTGCCGGCGAGTGTACAAAGGGATCCCGCTTCAGGTGCGTGGGCAGGTCTGGTCGCTTCTGCTGGATGTCGAGAAGATGAAGAAGGAGAATGAAGGAAAATATGAGGTATGGGGTCTTCCTGGCAAAAACAGTGAGAGCAAGGTGATGGGGAGGCTGGTTTGGTGGGGCTTAACTGGCCAGGGCAAGTCAAACCCATGGTGGATGCAGGTGTCTCCATCTCCACCTGCATAGCCAGGAGGGAAATGGGAGTCTCTATGGGGATTCTTAAAGGGGCGGGGGGACACACCCAGGCCTTGCATCCTCCCTCGCGGGGAAGCAGCATGCTGAGCACCCTCTGATGCGTGCTGGTGGTGGGGTCCAATCCTGTCCGTGAACTGCTGCGACCTGTGAGAAGGAAAGGCTTAACATTAGTGAGGACTGAAAATGCAAAGCGGATAAACTCTTTATCCGTGTCTGTATGTTAGGCTGGGCCTTTTAGCACGTTAGCCAGCTGCTTTCCCTAGTATGCTGCTTCCATTTATTCTCCTGGAAGCCACAAGCAAAGT